CAGTGGTAGACTATGCCATCACAGATATGAACCCTTCACTCATCAATGTCCTTACAGTGGTAGACTATGCCATCACACAGATATGAACCCTTCACTCATCAATGTCCTTACAGTGGTAGACTATGCCATCACAGATATGAGGCCTTCACTCATCAATGTCCTTACAGTGGTAGACTATGCCATCACAGATATGAACCCTTCACTCATCAATGTCCTTACAGTGGTAGACTATGCCATCACAGATATGAACCCTTCACTCATCAATGTCCTTACAGTGGTAGACTATGCCATCACAGATATGAGGCCTTCACTCATCAATGTCCTTACAGTGGTAGACTATGCCATCACAGATATGAGGCCTTCACTCATCAATGTCCTTACAGTGGTAGACTATGCCATCACAGATATGAGGCCTTCACTCATCAATGTCCTTACAGTGGTAGACTATGCCATCACAGATAGAACCCTTCACTCATCAATGTCCTTACAGTGGTAGACTATGCCATCACAGATATGAGGCCTTCACTCATCAATGTCCTTACAGTGGTAGACTATGCCATCACAGATATGAACCCTTCACTCATCAATGTCCTTACAGTGGTAGACTATGCCATCACAGATATGACCCTTCACTCATCAATGTCCTTACAGTGGTAGACTATGCCATCACAGATATGAGGCCTTCACTCATCAATGTCCTTACAGTGGTAGACTATGCCATCACAGATATGAACCCTTCACTCATCAATGTCCTTACAGTGGTAGACTATGCCATCACAGATATGACCCTTCACTCATCAATGTCCTTACAGTGGTAGACTATGCCATCACAGATATGAACCCTTCACTCATCAATGTCCTTACAGTGGTAGACTATGCCATCACAGATATGAGGCCTTCACTCATCAATGTCCTTACAGTGGTAGACTATGCCATCACAGATATGAACCCTTCACTCATCAATGTCCTTACAGTGGTAGACTATGCCATATGCCATCACAGATATGAGGCCTTCACATCATCAATGTCCTTACAGTGGTAGACTATGCCATCACAGATATGAGGCCTTCACTCATCAATGTCCTTACAGTGGTAGACTATGCCATCACAGATATGAACCCTTCACTCATCAATGTCCTTACAGTGGTAGACTATGCCATCACAGATATGAACCCTTCACTCATCAATGTCCTTACAGTGGTAGACTATGCCATCACAGATATGAACCCTTCACTCATCAATGTCCTTACAGTGGTAGACTATGCCATCACAGATATGAACCCTTCACTCATCAATGTCCTTACAGTGGTAGACTATGCCATCACAGATATGAGGCCTTCACTCATCAATGTCCTTACAGTGGTAGACTATGCCATCACAGATATGAACCCTTCACTCGTCAATGTCCTTACAGTGGTAGACTATGCCATCACAGATACGAACCCTCACTCATCAATGTCCTTACACAGTGGTAGACTATGCCATCACAGATATGAACCCTTCACTCATCAATGTCCTTACAGTGTAGACTATGCCATAGACTATGCCATCACAGATATGAGGAACCCTTCACTCATCAATGTCCTTACAGTGGTAGACTATGCCATCACAGATATGAACCCTTCACTCATCAATGTCCTTACAGTGGTAGACTATGCCATCACAGATATGAGGCCTTCACTCATCAATGTCCTTACAGTGGTAGACTATGCCATCACAGATACGAGGCCTTCACTCATCAATGTCCTTACAGTGGTAGACTATGCCATCACAGATATGAACCCTTCACTCATCAATGTCCTTACAGTGGTAGACTATGCCATCACAGATATGAACCCTTCACTCGTCAATGTCCTTACAGTGGTAGACTATGCCATCACAGATATGAGGCCTTCACTCATCAATGTCCTTACAGTGGTAGACTATGCCATCACAGATACGAGGCCTTCACTCATCAATGGAGGTCCTTACAGTGATAGACTATGCCATCACAGATATGAACCCTTCACTCATCAATGTCCTTACAGTGGTAGACGTCTTCATTCCGGAAAACGTCTTCCATCATCTTCTCACTGCTGGAAACGTCTTCATTCCGGAAACGTCTTCCATCATCTCTCTCACTGCTGGAAACGTCTTCATTCCGGGAAACGTCTTCCATCATCTTCTCACTGCTGGAAACGTCTTCATTCCGGAAACGTCTTCCATCATCTTCTCACTGCTGGAAACGTCTTCATTCCGGAAACGTCTTTCCATCATCTTCTCACTGCTAGAAAAACGTCTTCATTCCGAAACGTCTTCCATCATCTTCTCACTCCGGAAACGTCTTCTTCCATCCATCATCTTCTCACTGCTGGAAACGTCTTCATTCCGGAAACGTCTTCCATCATCTTCTCACTGCTGTCAGAAAGTCCCCTTCTATTGGATGTCACTAATGATTGGAGAATGGATGGAAGGATCTTCCAGGGAGAATGTTGGCAGGAGATTGTCCTAGTGTATGGGAGCTGAACAAGGCCATGTTCCCCGATGTTCTCTGACTTCCATCCCCATCCAAGAAACCAATGTGAGGTTGTATTGTGTGTGCAGAGCGTCCCCCACACCTTGTATGATATGACACAGAGCCCCGCCCACAGCATTCTATAGAAGAAAGCAAGCTCCGCCCTGTGTCCTAACACCTCATTACACCGCACAACAGCGCCCCCCCCCCCCCCACTGCACACCAGAGAACACGCATTCTACACACAATACCATGGGCTGTGTGCTGGGAATGAGCCCAATGAGTCCTTACACCCCCTCCCCCATACATACCCATCCCCGGCTTCTCACCCCTCCCCCATACATACCCATCTTGACTTCTCTCACTCCTCCCCATACATACCCATACATACCCCCGACTTCTCACCCCTCCCCCATACATACCCGTCCTTGGCTTCTCACCCCTCCCCCATACATACCCATCCTTGGCTTCTCACCCCTCCCCCATACATACCCGTCCTTGGGCTTCTCACCCCCCCCCATACATACCCGTCCTTGGCTTCTCACCCCTCCTCCATACATATCCGTTGTAACGGAACCGGTACCCGACCGCACTTGGGTATATTCTGTTTTCTTGCAGCTTCCGCTGTCCGAACACCATCCACGGACCACACCCTTGAAATCCCTCAGGAAACAGACAGCACCCGGCTCTTCCTAATACAGGAAGCCAACTCTTTATTGTACAGAAAAACACAGAATATATATCCAGAGGGCGGGGAAACACAACCAGGAACAGGAAATACATTATCAGCCCGCCCTATCAGTGGGAAGGGCTACAGGGAACCACCCCAACCAACCCAAGACACAGAACAATGGGATGAAGCACATGGCAAAGGACACTGACCAACCCCCACACCAATACACAAACAGTACATCCCATAATAGTTGGCTGGACAGGAAGGCACAGCACAATGGGGGGGAGCACATGGCAAAGGACATTGACCAACCCCCACACCAATACACAAACAGTACATCCCATAATAGTTGGCTGGACAGGAAGACACAGCACAATGGGGGGGAGCACATGGCAAAGGACATTGACCAACCCCCACACCAATACACAAACAGTACATCCCATAATAGTTGGCTGGACAGGAAGACACAGCACAATGGGGGGTCTCACATGGCAAACAGACAATGGACAACCATGTGGCCGAGAACAAAGGAACACACACTATACACAAGACTCAGACCTTCACATACACACCCTGTACCCCTTAACCTCTTGCCGACCGCGCATACACTCCCCCGAATGACGGCTTCTCACCGCGGCCGGCCAGTTCTGAGTGGACGTCATAGGACGTCCTCCCAGAACACGCTCTGCTGCGCACCCCCCCGGGGGCACACGCACCCGGCGATCTCCGTGATTGCTGTGTCCTACGGACACAGCTGATCACGTGATGTGGTAAAAGGCCGATCATACCGGCCTTTTACCACGTGATCAGCGGTGTCCAATGACACGCTGATCACAGGGAAATGCAAGTGCCGGTTCTCGGCTGCACTTTCCTCACGCTGTCAGATCGTGAGGAAAGTACTGCAGAGAACCAGCAGATGTCAGAGCGGGGATCGGCACCGATCATCAGGGCCACTGATGATCAGTGCCCTGATGATCGGTGCCCAGCAGTGACACCCGCAAGTTTCCGCCCAGCAGTGCGCCCACTAGCTCCGCCCACTAGCTCTGCCCACCTGTGCCCAGCTCTGCACCCACCTGTGCCCAGCAGTGCCCCCACCTGTGCCCAGCAGTCCCACCCACCTGTGCCACTCTGCAGTGCCACCTACCTGTGCCCAGAACCCACCTACATGTGCCACCCACCTGTGCCCACCCACCTGTCCCCCCCACCTGTCCCCCACCCACCAGTGCTGCCCACCCCTGCTGCCAGTCAGTGCCGCCAGTCAGTGCCCAGGGGTTGTGCCAGTCAGTGCCGCCAGTCAGTGCCCAGCAGTGATGCCAGTCAGTGCCCATAATCAGTGTCACCTATCAGTGCCGCCTATCAGTGCTGCATATTAGTGCCGCCTATCCGTGACACCTAATTAGTACTGCCTATCAGTGCCGCCTATCCGTGCCACCTCATTAGTACTGCCTATCAGTGCCCTTTAGTGCCGCCTATCAGTGCCCATCAGTGCCGCCTCATCAACGCACATCAGTGAAGGAGAAAAAATACCTGTTTGAAAAATTTTATAAAAGAAACAAATAAACTTTTTTTTCAAATTTTTTGCATTTTTTTTATTTATAGCGCAAAAAGTAAAGCGCCCAGCGGGGAGGAAATACCACCAAAAGAAAGCTCTATTTGTGAGGAAAAAAATGATCAAAATTTCATATGGGTACAATGTTGCATGACCGCGCAATTGTCAATCAAAGTGCGACAGCGCTGAAAGCTGAAAATTGGCCCAGGAAGGGGGTATAAGTGCCTGGTAGGCGAGGGGTTAACAGGCACAGGGGGCCATAAACATAATGATTTGGGGAGATGATACAGGGGTCCCCCCACCCCCAAAAGTCACTCCCGTCATATACACCCGTCCTTTGCTTCTCACCCCTCCCCCATACATACCCGTCCTTGGCTTCTCACCCCTCCCCCATACATAGCCGTCCAGATCCCAGCTTCTCACCCCTCCCCCATACATACCCGTCCTTGGCTTCTCACCCCTCCCCCATATACACCCAGATCCCACAGATCACCCACCTCCCCCATATACACCCTCCACCCCTCTCTGCCAACCCCTCCACTGGCCTCCACTCAGTGTCCTCCACCCCTCTCTGCCAATCCATCCACTGGCCTCCACTCAGTGTCCTCCACCCCTCTCTGCCACCCCTCCACTGGCCTCCATTCAGTGTCCTCCACCCCTCTCTGCCAATCCATCCACTGGCCTCCACTCAGTGTCCTCCACCCCTCTCTGCCAATCCCTCCACTGGCCTCCATTCAGTGTCCTCCACCCCTCTCTGCCCATCCCTCTGGCCTGCCACTCAGTGTCCTCCACCCCCTCTCTGCCAACTGGCCTCCATTCAGTGTCCTCCACCCCTCTCTGCCAATCCCTCCACTGGCCTCCATTGGTCCTCCACCCCCCTCTGCCAATCCCTCTGGCCTCCATTCAGTGTCCTCCACCCCCCTCTCCATCCCTCCACTGGCCCTCTCTGCCAACCCCCTCTCCCTCCACTGGCCTCCATTCAGTGTCCTCCACCCCTCTCTCAATCCCTCCACTGGCCTCCATTCAGTGTCCTCCACCCCTCTCTGTCATTCCCTCCATTGGCCTCCACTAACCCAATGTATAAAATTCAGAATACTAACCACACCTTACAAAGCCATCCACAACCCCGCCCCCGGCTACATCACCAACCTCATCCGCAGATATTGCCCACATCGCCCGCTCCTCCCAAGGCATCTTCCTCTCTGGTTCCCTCATCACCTCCTCCCTCGTCACTCACCTCCAGAGCCTCTCCCATCCTCTGGAACTCCCTACCCCAGTATGTCCGGTCAGCCCCCACCCTGTCTGCCTTTAGGTGATCTTTGAAAACTCACTTATTCAGGGAAGCTCACCCCACCCCCACCTAAAGAACTGTACTTGGGTCACCTCCACCAGACCATCCCCCACAGCCATCACCTTCTGTACCACCTCCCCCTTCCTCTAGATTGTAAGCTCCACGGGCCGGGCCCTCCTATCCCTTCTGTACTGAAATGTATTGTAATTGTACCGCCCCCCTTATTTGTACAGCGCTGCGCAGACTGTTGGCGCCATATCCATCCTGTATAATAATAACATGGTGGGAGATCGGCCTGAATGTCCTTCCTAGGAGGGAATACCGGAGCCATTCTGAGGCCCATTTAATGGCCGGCAATGAGGAGGAAACCAACACTGAGAAGTAGATGCTGAGATATATATATATACATGTATACACGCAGATCGTCTATAGCCGGGACAGCCGGGACCAGGAATAGGAGATCCACCTGACTTACCCGTGTGCTCTGACATGGAGAAGATCCCATGCTGGCCCTATGGTGGCCGTGTGTTCAGGATGGAGACCGACAATCACAGGACCTTCTGGAAGCCAATCTAAAATGGCTGAGAGGAGGAAAGTGTTCCCCAGGAAGTGACACAGACAGGAAGTGGACAGGAAGTGACACAGACAGGAAGTGGACAGGAAGTGACAGACAGGACAGGAAGTGACAGGACAGGAAGTGACCAGGAAGTGACAGGAACAGACAGGAAGTGACACAGGACAGGAAGGAATGACTCCAGACTGATAATACAGAGGGGGCAGTATGAAGAGCAGACACTAGATGGTGCTGGTCCAATTAGATAAACAAAATATAAAAACAAAAATTGATAAAAGAAGAGAAAAAAGGGGAAATGTGTGAAAGGAACACAGAAAAAGGACAAAGCACAAACCCCGCTGGGACTCCATGCTGTCCGCACTGAACTGTTGGGGAACCAAAACAGTAAAACGATGAAAATAACAAAGAAAAATCAATCAGAGGACAGAGCGGTGAGCGGGTTGTTGCTATTAGTGACGAGGTGAGCTGCGCTGTGTCCCGGATACAACACACGCCCACGGCGACTAGCTATCTCTGAGTGATCCTAAAGGGTCTGGATCAGAACTGGCCAGCAGATCGCCCTGCAGATCCACTTCATCCACTGGCCACCGACTACCTACTGGAAGGGTACAGGCAAACCTGTCATTGTGTTCTGTCATCATCTTCATCCCCTGGCCATGGTCACCTGGTGGGTCTCTATTAGTTACCGCACCCAGATGTTTGAGCCTGGCATAAGGTCGTTCCTGGGTGATCGGTCAATGTTCCCCCATCATCCTGCGGACCTTCCTCTGCTGTGCACAGCAATGAATCCTCAATCATGATACTCATAGCTGTGGGGACAAAGGATAAATCCACAGAAGACTTTATTCCACCAGAAGTCATCCTCTGACCCGTGCCACACCCTTCTACTCTGTCCTCCTCAGCAGGACGTCTGTCAGCACAACACCTGAGCTCCTCCGGGCCAACAACATCAGATCTATCAGCCTGGAAGTCCTCAGTGATGTCAGCTGCAGCTCCTGAGGTGGAAGACACTGATTGGGCTGAATTTGCCCCAACATCCTGCAGACTTCCCTCTGCAACACACAGAAATGAGTCTGCACTGGCAGCACCCGCGACTGTGGTGACAGAGGGGAAAGAGACAGGAGAAAGGATTCCACCAGGGTTGCCCTCCGACCCACGTCACACACCAGGGGTTGTCCTCCGACCCACGTCACACACCAGGGGTTGTCCCCTCTGACCCACGTCACACACCAGGGGTTGTCCTCTGACCCACGTCACACACCAGGGGTTGTCCTCCGACCCACGTCACACACCAGGGGTTGTCCTCCGACCCACGTCGACCCACACACACCAGGGGTTGTCCTCCGACCCACGTCACACACCAGGGGTTGTCCTCCGACCCACGTCACACACCAGGGGTTGCCCTCTGACCCACGACCCAGGGGTCCGACCCACGTCACACACCAGGGGTTGTCCTCCGACCCACGTCACACACCAGGGGTTGCCCTCCACCACACCAGGGGTTGTCCTCCGACCCACGTCACACACCAGGGGTTGTCCTCCGACCCACGTCACACACCAGGGGTTGTCCTCTGACCCACGTCACACACCAGGGGTTGTCCTCCGACCCACCCACAGGGTCGACCCACACCAGGGGTTGTCCTCCGACCCACGACCCACGTCACGTCACACACCAGGGGTTGTCCTCTCCCGACCCACGTCACACACCAGGGGTTGTCCTCCGACCCACGTCACACACCAGGGTTGGGTTTCCTCCGACCCACGTCACACACACAGGGGTTGTCCTCCGACCCACGTCACACACCAGGGGTTGTCCTCCGACCCACGTCACACACCAGGGGTTGTCCTCCGACCCACGTCACACACCAGGGGTTGTCCTCCGACCCACGTCACACACCAGGGGTTGTCCTCCGACCCACGTCACACACCAGGGGTTGTCCTCCGACCCACGTCACACACCAGGGGTTGTCCTCCGACCCACGTCACACACCAGGGGTTGTCCTCCGACCCACGTCACACACCAGGGGTTGTCCCCTCCGACCCACGTCACACACCAGGGGTTGTTGTCTCCGACCCACGTCACACACCAGGGGTTGTCCTCCGACCCACGTCACACACCAGGGGTTTGTCCTCCGACCCACGTCACACACCAGGGGTTGTCCTCGACCCACGTCACACACCAGGGGTTGTCCTCCGACCCACGTCGACCCACACACACCAGGGGCCCCGACCCACGTCACACACCAGGGGTTGTCCTCTGACCCACGTCACACACCAGGGGTTGTCCTCCGACCCACGTCACACACCAGGGGTTGTCCTCCGACCCACGTCACACACCAGGGGTTGTCCTCGACCCCACGTCGACCCACACACCAGGGGTTTCCTCCGACCCACGTCACACACCACCAGGGGTTGTCCTCCGACCCACGTCACACACCAGGGGTTGTCCTCTGACCCACGTCACACACCAGGGGTTGTCCTCTGACCCACGTCACAGCACCAGGGGTTGTCCTCTGACCCACGTCACACACCAGGGGTTGTCCTCTGACCCACGTCACACACCAGGGGTTGTTCCGACCCACGTCACACACCAGGGGTTGCCCTCCGACCCACGTCACACACCAGGGGTTGTCCTCCGACCCACGTCACACACACTTCTACCTCGTCCTTTAGCCGACCTTCTGTTGGCACAACACCTGAGCTCCTCTGGGCTGGCATCAAATATATCCACCTCTGGAAACTCAGTGCCGTCAGCCGCAGCTGCTGAGGGAGTAGAGTCAGATTTAAACCCTCACCGTGTGGTCCCTCCTCTGTGCTCCACAGTCCAGGATCCAAAATGGCAGTACTGGTATCTGTGGGAACAGGGGAGCAGACAAAAGAAAACTTCCTCCCACAAGGGGATAGAGGCACACAATACGGGTCTACCAGGACTTACTGAAACACAATGTGCCTCTTCACCAGGTACTTCAGAAGAACATTCTATTTCTTTACAAATGGGTAAAAAACCAAATTCCTGTTGCCTGTACATCCTCATCCTGCCATCCACTGCTGGTGGTCCTTCAGCCAGAACCCCGAGATCCTTCTCTCCTGCCATCAATTTTTACAGCCTCAAGGGACTCAGAGCTATCTGCCACAGGTGCCAGGTGGACAACATTCTGAGGAGACCTCAGGCTCTCTGGGCCAGGTTCAGAGGGGTCTGACCTGAACTGATCAGCTCCCTCTTCAGACAGTTTCCTCTGTAGCAGTGGGCAGGGGCCAGTGTGAGGATGACTGGTGGGCGCTGAGGGTCCTCACTACCAGAGGGAGGGTCTGCACTGCACACGTCATGATATTTTACATCACACAAAACATTGTCAG